GGTGCTCGACACCCAGAGGTCTTGCAACCAACTCATTTGTCAGCAAAGCCAATGTGTCTCCTGCTGTCATTTACAGTCTCCGCCCCCCACAGTGGGACTCTGAATACCTTCTGTGGGAACGGGCTGGCTGCTGTTTTCCAGATGCCACTGCGGGCACCGGGGCGGGGAGTAGGGGGTATCAGGGCCGCCAACCCCAACCTGCAGCATTCTCAATGCCAAGTGGTGCCCGGCCCCAGGATCCAGGCCAGGAACCCTGACCCTGCATCCTGCACCTCAGGAGCCCTGAGGGAATGAATGTGACCATCCTGAAGGGTCTGGCACACTGCCCACCATGGTGCATTTAAGGAAACAGACCTAGAGTGGAAGGACAGGGCAGGACTCCCTGCTCTAAGGTGTGCAGTCAGTTGGGACGGAAGGTAGGCCCCGAGGTGGGTCCTGGACTCCACATGCTTTTGCTATGACAGTCCAGCCAGGAAAAAACAAAAAGGCAAGAAAGAGGATGAGGTGGCTTGCTGTGTGACCACAGGCAGGTCTCTTGCCCTCTCTGGGCCTTGACTTCCCCATCAACAGCAAATGAGATACGTGATCTCCAAGAGTCCTCTTGTCTCTGGTGCATTTGGGGTCACAAGCAAGGAACACACCGTGAGGGATGCCGGGGAAGACGGGATTTGTCTGTTTCAGCTCTGAGAAGACACTTGGGGTGACGCTCTGGGAGGCCTGCACTAGCATGACCCTTGGAGCAGGGAGATGGTGATTCTGGGCACAGCTCCTGTGAGGGGCGCTAGGCACACCACTGGGTCAATCTGCCGTGTTGGGCAGAGCTGCAAGAGGCCACAGGCCCAAGAGGGCAGGCGCCTGTGCAGCAGATGTGGACAACTCAGTCATGTCTATTAGACCAGGCGTGGACAGGACTTTGGGAGATCCATGGTCTTCTCCCTGGGAAGCGGCCCAAAATAGCAGCTAAGGCTCGTCTGGAGTGACACAGACCTGTGTTCAAATCCAGCTCTGCCACTTGCTCGACTTCTAGCCCCAGATAGGTGCTTTCCTTTCCTAGGCCTCAGTTTACTCATCAACAGAATGGGGACAGGGTCACAGTAATCTCAGTGAACAGGGAGGACTCCCAGGGATGAGGCACGCCAAGGAGGTGGACCATGATGGGCATACAGCAGGGGTTGGCTGTGAGCTCGGCACCAGGGAGGGCCAAAGGAGGGCCACAGGGCCCCAGGGAGGAAGGGAACACAGGGTGAAAAAGTGTGGACGTTCTATAGGATGACAAGCCAGAGGGTTTGAGAAAGCAAGTGTCAGTTAATGGAGAAGCAGGTGTGTGTGTGCACATGCACACGTGTGGGGCTTTCATGCTACCTTAAAAAGGAACTTGGGGCCACAGCAGCCAGCTGTGTGGTGCTCGACAGGGTCCTGGCCATTCTAGGGTCAACTGGGGGAACGTGTGACCATGGACTGGGCGTTGCAGATGAAGATATAGTGACACAGAATGACCATGTGCACAGGAACAGCAGGGCACCCAATGCACTGTAACACCATCTCATTTCTATCTGTGGACGCACATGTGTGCACACACACACACACACAGGACGGCGGAAGCCACTAATGAGGGTACCACTAACCTGTGAGCGGTAAAAACTCAGAGCTTTGACTTTATTTTTGTTCCTCTGAAGTTTCTTTCTACAGGGTGTATATGCTGCTTTTGTGACAGTAAAGGAATTTCTGATTTTATGATTAAATCAAAAGTCCAGGTTCCAGAGCTGGAAAACCTGGCCTCAGACGCAGCTTTCTGCCTCTTCCCGGAAGATGGCAGCTGCTGAGAGACAGCCCCGGAGCATGTCCAAACTTAGCGGGGAGCCAGGCAGGCTGGGACAGGAGTGCGACCTTCTGGGTGCTGGACGTGCGGTGAGGTGCCTCATAAATGAATGACAGTGACAATTACAACCTTGACTTAGAACTGTGCCAAATGCACTGGGCTGCCATGGTCCACGGCCACGAGGAAAAAAGTCCTCACCCAACTTGACATGGTGGTGCACGCCTGTAATCTCAGCACTGGGGAGGCTGAGGCAGGAGGACTGCAGCGAGTTCAAGACCAGCCTGGGTTACACAGTGAGTTCAAGACCAGCCTGAACTGCACAGGGAGCCTCTGTCTCAAAAACAAAACAAAACAAGTTCTCACCAAGAGAAAGCTTACTGGCCCCATCCCAGCAGCTTCACATCCTCTAGTGGAATCCCCATTTTTGGAAGACCTGTCCCGGAACTGGAAAGCTCACCGTGAACTCAAGGCTGTGCAGGTGGCTGTGAAATCCGCCAGAGAAAGGCTGCCTGTGCAAAGGGGCCGTGGGGCTGAGTGCTGGTTCTTTGCAGAGGAAGGCAGGAGGTGGGCGACCCAGTTGGCACTGGCTGCGTTTCACCTGCTGTGTTTCTCCAACAATGAACCGAGGGGTCTCAACCTTGGGGCTCTGGACCAATGATGCTGACACTCAACCAGCTCTGTGTGCCACCCTGGGGCTTCTGGGCGGCTCTCGCACTGTGCTGGCTGACAGTGTCAGCTTCCTTGGTCCACAGCCCCAAGGCTGAGACTCCTTGATCACTGTGGGCAAAATGCAGCTAGTGCCAACTGGCCAGACAACATTATTTTTCAGCAAAAACAATGACCATGAGTATTTATTGAGCACTTACACATGTCAGGCAGAATACCAAGAGCTTTTTGTGCACCTTCTCATGCAATCCCCTTGAAGCTTCTAGAAAGGGGGTGTGATTACTCCTGTTCTCTAGGTGACAGTGTAGCCCGAGGTCATGTTGCCACCAGTCACAGAGCTGAAACAGAGCCTGGACAGAGCTACATGCTTGACCACCATGCTGGTCTCTGGAGACAATCTCAGGGTCCTCTAGCTCAGTGTCCTCAGCTCGGACGACACATCAGGACCACCTGGGGACTTTAAGAAGCTGCTGGCAGTTATCTGGCCAAGAAGGGTGACTGCAACATTGCAAATGTCGAATCAAAGCCAGGAGTGGGTGGCAGAAGGCCCGTGCAGTGGCAGGCAGCAGGGCGAGCTGAGTAAGGGGCGTGCAGGCCGAGACACACAGGGCAAGTGAGTAGGGCTGGCCCTGGGCTGCTGCTCAAGGACTGACACCCTGTCTGCCAGGGGAGAGAGGGGGCCTCAGGCAATGGCGGGCTATGGGGGTCTAGGATGCAAGCCCAGGAAGCTTCTCAGCTGCTGCAGGCTGGACAGCAGCTATCAGCCAGCATCACCACCAAGAACAGGGCCTCTCGGTATGGGCTGCTTCTCCAAATTGTGCAGGGATCAAAATACTGCCCAGGCCACAGATCTGCCCGCCTGAGTACCCCTGACTCCAGAGGAAACCTGAGGCTCGGCACGGCAGACAGCAGCCACCACAACACCTGTGTGCAGAGCCAGGCCAGGCTCCAGCAGGTAGAAGGTGGGCTCCAGAGTAGAGCTCTCTCTCTTAGTTATTTTTCGCACTACTGGGACAAAGTGTGTGACACCCAAAGTTAAAGGAGGAAAGGTTTATTTAGCTCACAGTTTTGTGGGGGCGGGGGAGGCACCAGGAATCGAACTCAGGACCCCATGCTTGCCGGGTAGGGCTGCCACACTGAGCTAAATCCCCAGCCCCAGCTCGCAGTTTGTAGAGGTTTCAGTCTACCATGGATTGGCTCCAAGGCAGGGTGGCACGTGGCCGGGGGGCACCACAGAGGAGAAACAGCTCACGGGAAGCAGAAGGCAGCAAAGCACGTGAGCGACAAGGTGAGCCTCTTTCTGTACCCCAGCTACGGGCCACGCCAGACCAATCATGAGTGATCACCCACCCTTCATCCCAGCATCACACGCTCCAGACTCAGGCACTTGTGAAAAGCCCCAACTAGGACAGCATGAGGCTTTGAGGGGCCAACTAGACCCAAACTGTCACCCGGTCTGAGCTTCAATCCCGACTCTGGCCGCCTTTCTCAGTCTTGCTGAGCTTCCCTTTCCCCTTCTGTAAACGAGGGGTGAGGCCAGCAGCCATCCCGCTCTTGAATTGAGTAGAGATTAAAGGAGAGGATGGAGGTGCTTAGAACAAATGGCCTGATCTGCATGAGTGCTCCGTGTCATTGCTTTAAAAACTATCTGGGGAGCAGGAGGCAGGGAACCCCGTCAGTGGCACTGGGGCCAAGCTGGGCCCGGCGTCCTTCCCATTGCTCTCCAGTTTCGGGAAGTGACCCAGGCAGGGCCACGGGCTGGGCAGAGCATGGGGCTGGAGCTTAGCTCTGCTCTTTGGCCATTTCCATCCTGGTCAGCTCCCAGTCACCCTCGGGGTGAGGACACTGGGGAAGGCACCAGATGCCCCCTAGTGGCCAAGGGCAAACACACACAGAGCTGCCGGAAGAAAATCCTGCGCCCCTTACCCCTTAGGGACCTGTGGCTCCCGGGGGTGCTGTAGGCAGCACAATAGCTGTAAGCATTTTCCAAGCATCACAAGTTTCTTTCTTTTTTTTTTTCCTTTTTATCGGTACCGGGGATCGAACTCACGACTGTCTGCTTGCAAGGCAGGCGCTTATGCCACTGAGCTAAACCTCCAGCCCCGCATCACGAGTTTCAAAAGCCATGTTAACCGGCAATAAAGTTCAAAGAGGACCGGGTGGGTGCCAGGGCCAGGGGCATGAACACTGGTTCCCTTCAGGAAGAAAGGGACGTTCCAGGCTCCCCTGGATCACAAAGCCGTGTGCTTGGTGAGTGCTTGGGCTGGGGGCTGACCAGCCCATTCTGGGAAAGCAACCTGGTGTGCCAGGCACCAAGTGCCATGGCCTGGCAGAGGGGCCTCCATGCCTGTCAGCAAGACCCATCTGAGAAAACCCACTTCATCCCCGAGATGCACAGTGACCCACAGCCCTCATTTCCATTCATTCCTCAAGAATTCCACCTGGGGAAAGGGCCAGAGAAAGGCACCCGGGGCCCGAGTCCTCCAACCCGCAGCTTTCTGGACACATGCGAGGCTTTGCTTATGCAAGTTCCTTTTATTCCCATCTGCCACCTTTTCTGCAAACTGCTCGGGCAGCAGTGGGGACCAGTCCACATCCCTGTTCCCTTCACTCTGCCTGCCTTGGCCTGAGGACAGAAGGCAAAGGCCACTGGCCTGGGAGGGAGAGCCAGGTGGGAGGTCAGGCCACACAGTGCTGAATGACTCCAACACACCGCTGGTGTGTCAAGGGACGGGGTGGACTGCTGGGTCAGGACGACTTCCTGGAGGAGGCAGGAGGGCCCGAGGCCCTGAGGCTGGTGGAAATGGGGAGGCAGAGGGAGAGAAGGCACACTGTGCTGGTCCCAGATCCACATCCCCACAGTCGGAGACTGGCACAGGTAGGGTGCAGATGGACTGATCTGTGATAGCTCAGGGGCTGTCAAGGAAGCCCCTCTCATCTTGGATCTGCAGTCTCAGGCCCTCCTGGGAGCTGTGCCACTGGGGCTCAAGAGGCACAGCTAGGAGGAAGGGCAGTGAGCAGGGGCTGGAGGCCTCTGCATCAGTGTCAGGAGCCGGATGGCGCTGGTCCACGTGGAGGCGAAGCCTGCATCCAGAAGAATCTGGAGAGGAGCTTCTCTGTAGGGCTGGAGCATCCTGCGGTCATCTCAGAGCCCACCCAGGGCCTGGCAGACGGGGCCGTGCAGGGAAGAGGCCGAGTGCACGGAGACGCCAGGGGCCCCGATGCTGGTCTCCCAGCAGTCGAACCCGCAGTCCATCAGTGCCTGCCTCGCAGCCTCCACTTTGGCCCGCTCCAGATCTGGGGGAAGGCAGGTCACAAGCCAGTTATGAGCTCCCCGGCCTAAAGGACGTTCACGCCACTCACCCTGGGAAAGGCCCAGGGTGCAGGCTGTCCTGGGAATCGGGACAGTGGTCCTGAGCCCTGTGGTCACCAGGAGGCCAAGATGGGCAGAGCAGTGCCATCTCTCACTGGCATCACCGGCCCTGAGCGGGAATCAGTGTCAGCCCCTGGGAACGTGGCTGCCTCCTGAAGGGTCACTGCTGGCAGCAAGAGGACATCGTGAAGCCCTCGGGGACTCAGTGTCAAGTGCAGGGAAACGGAAACAGGAAGAGGGAGAGGAGACCGAAGAGGAATGGGGGCACGGGAGAGACCGGACGCCTCCTCGGGACCTATCCCCAAGGGCAGATGCGATGCTGGGCGGTGAGACACCCGCAGTGCTCCCACACTCGGTCCTCTTTCTGGCCAGAGGCCACCGAGAGAGAAAGCCCTTCCTTCTGAGGCAGGATCACCCGCCTGGCTGTATCCTGAGGGAGCAGAAGGGAAGTGGGGGGCCTGATGAGGGCAGTGAATCGGGCCACAGCCTCACAAGCAGACGCTGTCAGTTTTGTTCCACCGCAGAGGAAACAAAGGCCCAGAGAGGTTCATTAACTTGCAGAGCTGAGACTTATTCCTGGGGCTCTGCTCCCTCCCCAGGAGAATCCTCCAGGCGAGCCTTCCTGAGAGCCCACTGGTGACCTGGCCTGCCCCAGTACCTGGCCTCAGCAGCGTGATGCCACAGCCACCGCCGCCTGCGCCAGTGAGCTTGCTGTGCAGTCCGTGGGCCGCTGTCACCTGGCAGAGCTGGTCCAGAGAGGCGTGGCCCACGCCGAGGGCATTCAGCTGGTGCTGGTTCATGTCAATGAGCTCCTGGGGGAGAAAGCGCCAGGCGTCCCCTGATGGGCTGCCTGGGCCGAGGTCCTCCCCCATCCACACGTCTGCCCAGCCTGCCATGACCATGGGTGGGGGATGGCTCGTGCTGTGGCTACCCGGCACATGTCCCTCTCCCCTGGTAAAAGGACATCTCCGTCTGCAGGACCTCCCACGGGCTTGGATGGCAGAGTTTATCCTCCGCCATGGTGGCGAATACTGATCCTGGCCCTGACCTAGAAGCCTCTGGACCTTGTGACTGATCAGGCATGGGCATGAAACCCTTGAGCTGTGCCAATCGGGGCCCTCCTGGGCCTTTTTTTTTTTTTGCCTTCTTCTTCAGCAGCTGCTGAAATTTCAGACATAGGCTGCCCAAATTACCTGCCCTGCCGCATGGCCACAGATTACATGAAAGAGCCATTCTCCACTACATGGTTTCAACCTCTGGACCAAGCTATGCCTGAAGCTGTTCCCTCTGCCAATATATTCCTTTTCTGCAGAAGCCCAGTTGAAACACATTTCTGCCATTTGAAAAAAAAAAAGCATCAAATAACATACCACCCTACAGCTGCCTCAGGGACGGATGCTCAGAGTAGGAACTGGGTTATATTTCCAGCAAGGTCACGAGTGGGACAAACAGCTAAATATTTGCCTAGGTTTCTTTAATTATGCATAATAAAATTCCTGCTCTTCAAGGATCAAACAAAATGCATGCGGATGGAATAATAAAACCACAGCTACACTGTCCAGCATCCGCTGTTTACATTTCATTCACCAAACACACACAGCATCTGAGGCTGAGCTTCTACCCCGGGCCTGCTGAGGTCACAGGTATGTGCTCTGCAGTCAGGTGGGCTGGGTTTGGGCCTCAGCTCTGCTCCTTCCCGGTCCTATTTCCCTGGCTCTGGTCCTTTGCTCCAAGTTTGAGCTGGAAATGGGGCCACAAGAGCACCTGTCCACCTCACTACCACGAGGAAGAAACGAGGTGACTCTTTTAGACGATGTCTGTTACGAGGTAAGTGTGCTGCAAACATCTCCTGCTAAGGAGGTATTCATGGCTATGGTATCATCAGCCCCATTTTACAAAGGGGGAAACTGAGTCTCACAAGCAAGCGCCTTGCTTGAGTGATGGAGCTAAGGAGGCTAAGGAAAACCAGGTGTGGGAAAGCACCCTGCCTGACACGGAGCTCCTGGCCACCTGCCTTTGAGAGCGTCCCTGACGTCCCTGCTGCCACCCACTTCCCTGGGAACAAGCGGGACTTACGGTGCGTGGCTCCAGGGCAGCGGAATGTCTGTGGGTGAGGTACCAATCACTGAGCCATCTCTGCCCACAGCTGGCTGACGGGGCTGGGCCCGGCCAGCCTGGCAGCCCCGCCCTCTCATTCTGGGCCCTCCTCACCCCCCAGCACTTCTGAAAAATGAGCAGACAGGCTTGATGGTCGGGTGGCAGCCCCGGGTGCCTCCTCCTAGCCTGGCGGGCTATGTGTGAGGCAGGATTTCTGGGGGCCTCTCTCTGCGCCTGAACGCCAGGTGTCACGCTACAGAGGCAGGTTCCAGACACCTGTCACATTCTGATCCAAAATCTGTCAAGGATCAGATGACAGGCTGTGACACAGGAGAATAGCTCTCTAGTTTGAGTGCAAAGCTGTCCGGGAGCTGAGCTGCACATTTCAATGGCTGCCATCGCCAAAAATATACACAATGTATAATCGACATGCTGGTGCACAGCCTTCTCGGGGGCTCAGCGGGGTACATTTTAGGCAGTGCTCTGTCACTATTAATTTCCTACTGAGGGGGACCTGTCCCCTCCTTTCTCTGTGGAAGGGGCCAAGAGCCAAGAAGGTGAAGGCTGGGGAAGGAGGGAGTTACATGAAAGCCCTTGCCCAGCACACAGTAGGTGCTCATTAAAGATCCAAGTGCCACAGAGCTCGCCCGTAATCCCAGTTACTCAGAAGGAGGAGGCAGGAGGATCACCCATTTAAGACCAGCTTTAGTGAGGCCTCATCACAAAAATAAAAAAATTTAAAAGGGGCTAAGGATGTAGCTTAGCCCTCCGCAGGTTCAATTCCCACAGCAGGGGGAAAAACAAACCTGGTGAATGAAGGAATATGTAAATTGATTGGTTTGACTCAACTCAGTCACTCACTTGTTAAACAATCTAGGAGAAGCCAGTCTGTTTAGGCCTCAGTTTTTACATCTGGAAAGTGGGGACAACAGGCCTGCATCACAGGCTGGTTGCTATGGGGAGCCACTGAGAAATTGCAGGTAAAAGGCTTGGTTTATCAGCAGCCTCTGTGTGTGATGGAGGCTGGAGACTCAAGGGCCCACGGGGGGAGGGGGACACAGGCAATGACTGGCAGCCAAACCCGGCACAGCGTAGGGACCCTTAGATGGAGACTGTAAGGTTCCTTTGGGGGGGACCCCACCTGCACCTCAGTTCACTGCTGCTGCCTGGTCATGCTATTCTTGAAGTGAGGGTTTGTGACGTCACTCACATTGTGGGGCCAGATGGACAGTGTCTGAGTGGGAGCCCTCTGGTCCGGAGCTGGTGGCACATCAGGCGCCTGTGCTGTGCGTCACCTGGGGGCTCCGAAGAGGCTTAAGACACTCATGAGGGCACCCCGCAAGCAGAGGGAGCTGGGCTTACCCGACCTGCTCAGATCCGAAGTCTTACACAAAGGGTGCTGGCTGGAGTTCCAACACAAAAGCCTTCGCAACAGTATCCAGGACATCTGCCCCGTGTGCACCCCAAACCCTGACCTGTGGTGCCTGCTGTGTACCAATCCTGCCCTGAGCATTTCTGAATGACTCAGGAACTGCTCGTGTGGGTACACGCCAATGCTGGCCCAGGCGACAGGATTCTGACCGCAAGGGCCAGAGGCACAGCCTGGCTGCTCTGTTTGCTGGGAGACGCTGAGCAATGAGGGGGCAGGGCGGAGCTTGCCCTGGGCAGCAGCAGGCAGCGGGCAGCCTGGTGCCTGCAGGTACACCCTTACCTCCAACACGAGATAATGCTCCAGGGCTGGGGCCGCTAACACCTCTGCCAGCACGTGCTCGCACTTCCGGGATACGGCGTCTATCGAGGTCAGGAGGGGGCCCACGATCTCTGGGAACTGCAGGGGAAGGAGGGTAGGCTATGAGCCCAGGGACAGGGGACAGGGTCCACCTGGACCCTGGACAGCAGCTCAGAAGTGGAGGGGAGGAGGGAAGAGTCCCTAACAGCTACGCCCGTCCTTGGGAACCCTCTGCTTCTGGCCTGGCCTTTGCCCTGCTGCAGTTTCTGGTATCAGGAGGAGACCTGGGACACCAAGCCAGCATGACAATTAAGCCTGATCACTGTTGTTTCAGGAATCCCATCCTGCCCTCTGGCCAGGGTATGGACACAGAAAATACCTTATTTTCTGTCCAAACTGCCTCCCCAAGTTTCCCTGTCCCTATCATGTCACAACAGGACCCATCCATAGCCCATCAGATGGTGGGGGACTTTGGGAATCCAAACATGACACTGTCTTGTCCTGACTGAAGCCCGTCCAGGAAGCCTGTCCAGGAAAGAAACAAGAAGCACCTTGATCAGCCTGTTCCTGACGCCAGCCACAAGAGCCTTGGTGCTTCGTGGGACCTTGGTGTTCGTCAGCAGGATCTGGAGAGTCGGAGGCCTGTGTGGGGGGAGAAGAGGCAGAATGCAGGAGCTGGATCAGGACAGGAAGCAACCTGGGACTCCACACCACCCCACACAGAAGGAAATGGAGCCCCAGAAAGAGGACATTGGGCTGGGGGAAACACGCAGATCACAGCAGTGGCCACAGCCATTCTCCACCTCAGTCCCTGGGCAGATGGACACGGTCCCCTGGCTCCTGCCTCGCTTGCTCGCTCATTCATTCAGCATTAGCTGGCACACATTAGGGGGCCAGCTCGGCCTGAGGACGGGCCAGGGGGGAGCAGGAGAGGGTCCTTGAAGGCCTCCGTGAGGATGGAGGACAGGCAGGAAGCACCAGGTAGAGGCAGGACACACAGGATCGCCAGCAGGGCAGTGGTGAGGGTGAAGCCCAAAGAGGTGGGCACGCCACATCCATCCAATGGCAAGGGGTGCCAGGGCCAGCCTGTGGGCGGTCCAGGGGGCTGCATGGAGGGCGATGAGAAAAAGGTGCAGCTGGACCTGGGATGGCCTGGCACGGGCCTGGGGGAGACGCCCGACCCGCCTGAGCCATGCTGGTTAGGGATTCCTGCCCCAAAGTGCTCGGGAAGAGCCATGTTTCGGGTTAGAAGGTTCTGGACTTCGGAGTATTTGCACACAGCTTCCTGGCTGAGTGTCGCTAGTCAGAAGATAGCGATGCCAGACCAGATGAGGAGGAGCAGGATGGCAGAGAATGGCTCCCTCCCTGCCCCTCCTCCACGGTGTCCAGGAGCCTGGGCACAAGACCAGATGTGGGCACAGGGAGTGCGAGCTGTGCACGCTTTCCTGAAACCACAGTCCCCACGTTCCCGTGCTGAGCTGACTCTGGGGACCCAAGTTCCCCCTCCCCTTTTTTTTGGGTCATCTAACCTGCCTTTCAGAGGGCTGCAGGCCGGGACCAGAGGATGGAGAGTTTGGACGCGCCCTGGCCCAGACAGCTGGGGGCGCAGACACCTGACACCTTTATTCCCGCGCTCTTCACAGCCCAAGATTGTAAAATCCAGCTGGGCTGCAAAGGGCTGCCAGGGACCTGCTTTATCTCGCCGCCCATAAGCCCATGAAATTAATATCGATTCGCAGCCTTGAGGCTGGCGCTCTTTTTCCTTTTTTTACTTTACAAAAGATGAACATTCTATTTGGCTTTTCTCTTCCCTTTAAAGACAAGCTTTGCTCAAAAGGGCAGCGGTCTGGGAGGCCTCATCTTGATCCACTCCACAAACAATGCGTTTTTTCATGGAGAAGCACCATGCGTGGTCTGGGGGGAAAGGGCCCCTCTTTAAGCCATCCGTGGGATTAATGTGGAGTCGGCCTCCCGGCTTTCCCGAGGACCTGCCATCTGCTCGCTGTGGGGCCTGCGGCAGCAGCAAAGGTCGCTTTGCTCTGCTCCCACCCAGGAGGTAGGGGGAGGGGCTGGTGGGGCGCATCTTCATTTCTCAGACAAGTTCTCTGTGAGTGAGCCTGCCACCAGCCTCACAAAACCCGCGGCTCTAGTGACATCCTGTGACGATCCCCCCGCCCCAGGGATCTGCCCCGAAACACTTGTGATCTGGGCCCAGCCACCTCCAATCTCAATTCTCCTCTCCTCCTCCCCCAGGGCACACCACACAGTCATCCTGGCCTCCTCACTGCTGCACTATACGCCTGCCTCTCCTACCCCAGGACCTTTGCACTTACATTTGCCTGATACTCCTTGCATAGCCATATGATCCATTTTTATTTCACCAGCTGCCCCTCCACTGCTCAGCTCCTGCTTCCCCAGTACACTACTTGCTTGAAGCTGGCTTCCCCTCCAGTGTTTACAGTACAACTGGCTCCAGGGGCACTGGACAGATGGCTTATGCCTCTACCTCCCTGTAGGACCCACACGTCTGGCCCCTTGCTGTCACCCATCGCGGCTTTGGGACCCTCCAGCTGCCTTCTTTATCACCCAGGCCTTCCCTGCCTTTGCCCACATGGACCCAGGCCAGCTGGCAAAGATGACTGCAGGCCCCGGGGCTCCCCTGCCATGACCCTTCACGCGGCAGGCCGAGGAAGTGGTCCCATGCTCCTAAGTGGCTCTGCTTCCCTGTGTGCAGAGCAGGGGCTGGTGCCCAAAGGATTTTGCCCTCCAGGGGACACTGAGCAAGGCTGGGAGGTATTTCTGACTGTCACAGCTGAGGAGAGGCCGGGGATCCTGCTGAACATCCTCTAACACACAGGACAGCCCTGCCATGACAGATAACCTGGCCCCAAATGTCATCAACAGTGCTGAAGCGGAGAAGCCTGATGGGAGCCAGGGAAGGGAAGGCTTAACTCTCGGAAGCCAGCAGGGCAGGACGGAAAGTTCCCACAGATGCAGGCAGGGGCTGGTGCTGCACGGTGACAATCCCCATGCTGAGCTGCTAGTGGTCGGGACCAGCTACCATTCACAGAAGATGCCCGAGGACAAACACTGCAACCCGGCGTGGACACACCAAAAAGTTACCGAGTCCTGCAGATTAATTCCCTGCACCTGGCATTTCCACCAGGGTGCAAACAGGACTGAGAATGCTGGTGGTTAATACACACGCTTGTCCTGTCTGCTCCAGAGGCTGGGCTGAAGAAACACACAAACCAGGCCACGCCTTGCCAGCCGCCCCTCTGTGCTGGGCTTCCCACAAGTGAACTCACCCCTTGGCTCTGTGTCTCCATGAAGGCAACGAGCACAACGTATTGTAGTGGCTTTTGTGTGCCCGCCTGTCCCCACCTCCCTCACCGAGCCGGGCTGCGGGCACTGGGAAACTGTCCGAGTCCATCTCTACCTCCCCAGGCCCCAGGATGCACCATGAGGAACACAGGGAGGTATCACTAAGCCAACAGGCAAATGAGTGCACAGCGGGGTCAGCAGCCAGGGCCTGGGCACAAGGACTTTCTGGAAGGTGTAGGGAGTCCATGCGTGACTCCTCTCTAATCTCCTGGCAATTTAAGAGCTGGTGTGGAGGAGAAAGAGCAGCTGCCAGGTCTTTGCTGAGTTGGTCCTCAGAGCCAGCACCCTGTGGGGGCCCCAGCAGGGCGGGAAGCCCAGGACACCTCCCTGGGTAGCGCTGTACCCCGGATCCGTGGATGGGACTGCTCTACCCCAGTTACCTGTTTAGGGATGAGATCTTCCCTTGCTGGTATCTGAGGGCTCCTCCTAGAGAGAACAGCAAGTCAGTCAGAGACCCAAAGCTCTGCATTTGCCCCTGGGGAGAGGGGATGGGCTGTGGGTTGGCCTCAGCTGTGACCCACAGGGAAAAGGAGAAACAATATCCCCGACCCGCTGCAGGGCAGAAGGGCCTCGAGCTTTGCCAGGAGGCTCTCACCAGGCCTGGGGCTCTTGGGTGCTCCTCTCCCTCAGGCTACCCAGTTTCCAGCACCAGACCTCAGGAGGTCAAGTCTCTTTATAAAGGGGGGCTTGCAAAGTGTGCAGCAGTGGCCAGGCAGCTTGAGCATCCCCTCCCCCTCCCCAGGGGGCTCACTGGGGCTTGTCCATGCGCACACCCAGAGGCAAATTTGGGGGTACAGGTAGAGCCCTGAGGTTTCCCTTAATGTCCTCCCAAGCAGGAAAACTCCCCTTTTCCTCAGAATCCACTGATGCCATTCAGCCCAGGCCAACAACACCAGGGCATCTACCAATGTAAAGATTTTTTTTTTTTTAAACCGGTATCAGGGATCGAACTCACGACCACACACTTGCAAGGCAGGTGCTTATGCCGCTGAGCTAAATCCCCAGCCCAGCAAGATTCTTAATAATACAAACAAGCACTGCGTGCCCACGGCACACCTACCCCAGGTGCTGATGGCATTGTCCACACCGGAGGGGTTCCCGTGGATCACCCGCTCTCCACGGAAGGCCCACTGGTTAATTACCTCCAAATCCTCCTCGGGCCACCTGGAGACACAGAAACACATCTTTACTGAGGTGCTAGAGACAGGGCAGTGGGATCACCTCAGACAGCAGAGGGCGATGGTTGCGGGCTAAACGTGAGGAACACAGGCAAAAGGGCTGGCTGGGCCCATGAGCGCAGAGGGAGAGCAAAGTGGTGCAGAGCCTTTCAGCCTGAGACCCCTCCACGGCTTCCCTCCAAAGCCAGCTGGTGCAGCAGAACAACACCTGGGCTTTCAGGAGCCACAGCCTTCCTTTGTCTCGTCCTAGCTCGGTGCCTTTACACCTGTCACTCCGCCTGAGTCTCACTCTCTTCAGCAGGGAATGGCTCACTCCGCCCTCCCCGTCTGTGTGTGTGGCTAAGGCAGGTGATGCGCACTCGAAGGTCCACATGTAGCAGGTTTGGAATGCGACTGTAAGGACCTCTCCACAGCAGCCTGCTCCCAAGCCAAGCCTGCCTTCTGGAAGGAAGAACTGAGCAGGGACGCTTCCCGAGCCCCTGGCGGCAGGTCTTAGCATGATCACTGCAGATTCGAGCTCCCAAGGAGTCAGGCTGCAGCGCCATCTCCAAAGCCCTCAGAAGCCCAAAGTGTCTTCCACACAGCAACCACCTGTTTGCTGTGCAGCTCTGAGGACACCAGTTACCCATTCTGAGTCTCCTTTTTCTTCTGTCGAGGGAGGACTTAATGCCCTGCAACTCACCCAGCAGCTGAGGCACTAGGGTTAGAGACAAGGTAAGCCTGGTTAATGTTGTTTAGCACCACGTACATAGCTTTGTGCTGAACACGTTCTCAAACGGACCAGCGCTGTCACTGTCCCTAGAAGTCCACATGGAATATGAGGTCATAAACACCCTTCACACAGAAGGGGAAACTGAGGCCCGGATGGGTAAAATAGCCACACTGGCACTCACAGCCACATCAGAACCACACAGGTCTGAACCACTGAACTTCACGGTACTTCTGAGATTTATTCCTCTCAGTATCAGCTGAGCAGCTACTACCGCCCGTGCTCGAGACTAAGCTCACAGCAGGAAGAAACAGGCACTGCCCCTGACTCCCGGGAGCCTGGAGTCCAGTGTCGAGAGCGGAAGTCGGTGAGCCATCGGGATCTGTGGCATTGAACTCCACAGCGGCGCTCAGGGCAGTGTGGGCAGCTGAGCAGAGCAGGGAGAAGGCCGGGGGCGAGGGAAGCCAGCCAGGCTGGATGACAGGGACGGTGCTGCAGCCAGGGCACCAGCTGGTACAGTGCCCGGGACTGGACACAGCTGGCCCTCCCCGGAAGCAAAAGGCAGCAGTGTGCCAGGGAAGAGGTGAGTGGGAGAGGAGGAGGAGGAGGAGAAAGAGGAAGAGGAGGAGGAGGAGGAGGAGGAGGAGGAGGAGAAAGAGGAGGAGGAAGAAGAGGAGGAGGGGGAGGAGGAGGGGGAGGAGGAGGGGGAGGAGGAGGGGGAGGAGGAGGAGGAAGAGGAGGAGGGAGAGGAAGAGGGGGAGGGGGAGGGGGAGGGGGAGGAGGAGGAGGAGGAGGAGGAGGAGGAGGAGGAAGGCCTGCAGACGCCCAGGCCCAGCCCTTCTCCAGAGCGAGGCTTTCTTATACTGTTCCTTCCTCAGGGGCTCAGACTCCAGCCTCCAGAGCACCCTGGGCTTGGGTTCCTTCGGGCTCAGAAATGCCAGGGAGTAGAGTAGGGCAGGGGCCTGCTCCTAACATAGGTCCTGCAGGGCAAGTGAGTGTTCAGGGCAGGCAGGCAGAATTGGAGAGCTGGCGGGAAGCAAAGACATGCCCACACCGCACACAGCCACCCCCTGCCTTTGAAAAGCGGCACCAGGTTGTTGCCCTTGTGAGGGGTCCATCAGGAGACCTGGGCAGCAGCCTTCACTGCTCTGGTTCATGGCCAGGGATCCGGCCACAGTAATGAGCAGACGTCTCCAAGCCGCTTCCTCGGGTCACCACCTCACCACAGCACCACCAAAGGGCAAGGCTGGAAGGGTCCCCCAAGGAGTCACGGGTCCGGCCCTGACTTCCTGATGAGGAAATGGAGCTCCCAGGCCATGGAGAAGGGAACAGGTAAAACTTCTGCACTCCTGGGCAGCAGCAGCCTGGCACCAACTGGGGCACAATCTCTCATCGCTTCCTGACTCCTCCCTCTGCCAACAGTGGCCTCTACCGCATGTGCCAACCGTCTCTTACACAGGCAGAGCCACCCAGAACCACTCCAGGGAGCCCGCAGGCCTGGCCTGTGAGGATTAAGGCAGTCCTGGGACTCAGGCTGCGATCAACCTACAGGTCTCAGAAACAAATTACCAGTGTGACAGGAACCCTAACAGAGACCAACGGAAACAGAACCACGGCCTTTTCATGCCTGAGAAAAAACACCCGGTCAAACCAAACTCAGATGAACAGAGCTTCTTCAGCCACAGGCCTGAGTGCTGCTGCTCATGGCATCGAGGCTCCCTCTGTGCCCATGAGCTGGTGACACAGCTATGTCTGTGCTGGTACCCACAGCCATCTGAGCGGCCTTTTCTGATGCTGGCTTAGCTGGGAGACAGAAGAGACCAGCAGCCCACTTAGGACAGCACAGCTGAGCTCCACACGGCTGGTACCACAAGCTCCCCAGTGGGGTGTCCCCCCCACGACACAGGGCCCTCAGAAATGCTTCGCAGTGAAGCCGCCAGCGGGCTTCTGGGCGTTTCCCCAACACACACCACAGACCCTCATGTTGGGAGGGTTCTCTTGGAGAATCCACAGGGGACAGGGAGGACTGTGACTCTCCCTCTACAGGCACAAGGCGAGGACCCCACAGACACACCTCCTGAAGCCGATTTTTCAGCATAGCCCCACAGAAACCCCTCAGGCACTCTCATTAGCATTTAGAGGAGGATGAGGATGCTCCTAGGGGTGCAGTGAACAGGCCAGGTCCTACAGCAAGTCAGTGCACGAGTGTGAAGATTCCTCCAGCCCACTGCCATCTACAGACAGACTCAAGTTTTTCCTGTCACACCACTGGCACTTGAACCCCAAAGAACAAAGATGGGGGTGAGAGACAGCGGGTTCAGAAGTCCTACTCTCCCATCACTAGTTGCGCTGCCCTGGGCCTCTCTAGGCCCTGTTCTCCTCACCTGGAAAGCGGCCACCAGGCAGATCTCACCTCGCCGTGGGACGGCGAGGTCCCAGTAGGGGACTCTGGCTTGGGTGCTGACACACAGAAAGGACAATGAACAGGGCGAGAACTGTGATCACCTGCTGACACTGTCCCCATCCTTGAGCGGATTAGAGATGCCTTCAGATGCTGTCAGGAGGGCGGCTGCCAGGCACACAGAGTAGGCGGCGCTGGAGCCCAAGCCCGCCCCAGGGGGCAGCTCCGACCACACGGTGATGTCCAGGCTCAGCAGGGCCCTGCAACACACCAGGGTGCAAAGTGTGACTCTTTCCAAGGGCAGAGGAGACAGGGTTGAAGTCGGGGCTGGGGACCAGAACTTGATGATGGCAGGGACTGCCTGGGAGACTTCCTGGGACTGCACGAGATCATAATGAATCAGAACTAGGAAACAGGTACTAGATTCATTTAAACCACAGTCCCTGCATGACCACCTGGGACCGCATGAGACAGCCAGGAGGTTTGAAGCCACGTCCATGGACACGTGCTTCCCCAAGCAAGATCCATCGAACTTCATGAGTAGTAATTTCTACTGAGTGCTGTTCTCATTTTCCAAACAGAAAAGCTGTAACACTGGCAAGGTGTGGTGGCGCATGCCCGTAAGCCCAGCACACCGGAAGGCCAAGGCAGGAGATCACACAAGGCCAAGCCCAGCCTGGGCAACTACCCAAACCCCACCTCCAGACAAAAAGGGGCAAGGAGAGACCAGTGCAAAGTCCTTGGGGTCAGTCCTTAGCACTGCAAACAAAAACAGAAACAAAACCCAACACCACAGAACGTGCATCTACCCATAATATGCAGGTTCTGAAGTACTCCCCTCACTGGAGGGACCACACCCCTCCTAGTGGGTCCCTGAGCCAGACAGCAAGAGTGAGCCATGCATGAATACATCCTTAGCACAGTGCCTGGCTCCTGAGCCCATGTCTGCTGCTCAAAGGAGGAGCTGTCCTTTGGGTTCTGCATGAAAAATAACACCTCACAAGTGGTGGCACAAATCTATAATCTAAGCACTTGGGAGGAGGTGGGAAGATCCCATGTTTGAGCCCAACCTGGGTAACTTGGTGAGATTTCTCAAAATGAAAAATGAAAAAAAGTCTGAGGATGTAGCTCGGAGAGAAGGCCCTGCGTCAATCCCCAGCATCAAGGAATAAAAAGAACAACAAGAAACCAAAACCACACACTCACTGTGTGTCAGGTGCGGTACTGGACCCATCTTCTATATATTTCTAATCCCTCTTATCCTTTTTGTTTTCTGAGAAAATTATCAATACTAGAAAGAGCTATGTGCCAGCCGCTGTGCCAAACACTAGCTAAATTAGCCTCATCACAACCCCATTAGGAAACTCAGGCAAGAAAGCAAGCCAAGTGCCTCCTGGAGCTCCTTAGTGAGGCTGAACCAGTGTGGCTTCCTCTCACACCCAGTGACACTGCCTTGATGGCGCTGTCACCCACTGGTGTGCAGTAGCATTCAGAGATCTTATTACAAAGCGAGAGGAACAACAGTTCCCTGGAGCAGCAGGATGTGGACAGAAGGGACCTCTACACCAAGCCCTAGAACTCAGATGTGGAAACGGCTTTGGCTCTATTGAAGACAGCGGAGGAGGGAGGGGTAGGTGGGTAGGTGTGTCGGTGTGGGTGTCAGAGCCAACGGATCACCAAGCAGCTCTCCTAACTAGCTGTACAGCCTTACACCCCAGGTCCAGAGGAAGTGGTGCCTCTGTCCCCCAGAGTGCTAGGACTCGTGCTGAGGACAGCCAGTGGCTGTGTCCCTACAGACAAAGGAGGAAGCACTCCCTAGAGACTTAGGAGGAGGCACACGCACTTTCCAGCTTCCCCCACCTCTCCGGGGAGCGGAGGCAGGGCCCCTTTGCAGACCACGTACCCCCGCTTCTGGCAGATGGTCAGGTATAAGTACAGGAAGGCCGTCAGGGCCAGGTGCTCGGGGCTGGCGCAGTTCTTGGGGATGCCTGCCACTTCCTTCAGCTTCTCCACTTGCTCTGTGGTGGGTGCTGGCACGTCACCTTGCTCTGTCATAACACAAGCAAACGGGGGTGGGTGAGAGGGCCTCAGGTGCTTTTATAAAAAAAACATAAAGGAACCACTGTGTAACCCAAGGTTACACCACTGTGTAACCCAAGGGTCACCTCTGTTGGGTGCAGGAAGGCTTGGTCTGGGGCTTGACTGCCATTCCATCTCTGGGTGGGACCTGCCTTCTCCAAACCTCAGTTTCCCTCGTTGGTAAAATGAGATAACTTACAGTGCTTCTTCACAGAGTTACCACGAAAACAGAGTTAAGTATGTAGAACTCTTAGCACACAACCTGGCATACAGTAAGCACTTAATTAACAGCAGTTTAAACACACACATGCAAGTGTACACACATGTGTCCACAGCATATGCTAGGTCAACTGCTCAAAGGCTGGGCTTTCACCGCTGCTGTACAAAACCAAAATCAAAAGTCACACTAAATGATTCCCCAGACACTTTGGCTCTCTCAAAAGATAATTAGAGAGCATGCAAACTCCAGTAAATACAGGGCATGTGAAATGCTGCTGGGCAGGAGGGGAAGGTGAGGTAGTGCGTTCTTCCCAGGGACATGCTGGGGCCTGGACTTCTCTCCTCCATGATGCTAAGGAGGTTAAGCAAGTCTGACCAGCTCCCCTTTAAGAGTCACCCACAAGCCTGGTTCTAGATACATGAGATGGAGCTGGGCATGCCTGTATTGGGAAACTTCAAAGCACCCAGTTGGCATTCAGCAAATATGAGCTGGATGTATTCAACATACAATCAGCCAAGCCAGTGATACCACAGAGCTCTGCCGCAGATGTGCAATTGGCTTTAGGGGCCAGAGACCCGGCCTTTCTGATACTGACATGCTGTGGGGCCCGAGCGTGAGTCTTAACTGGACCACTGAGTCTTAACTACCACATCTATAAACAGGGTAAAGAACATCATCTACTTGCAGGGAAGGCTGGAGAACTGTAAAGACACTAACACTTCGTGCAGATAGAAGCCAATGACGGCACACTGGTTACTACTATCGGGAAGGAAAAAAGGATGGCAGATCCTTGTAACCTAGCAGACAAAGGGTCTCAGAAGGCTTGAACACCTTTTGTCTCCTATGTGAAGTGCATGAACAAGCCGTTCTGCATGTACTGTGCTTAGCGTCTCAGCCCTGGCTCCCACGCCAGTCCTGCTGGATCCTGAAAGCAACACTCAGTCAGGCAACACAAGCCTGCTTGCTGAGGCCCCGCATGTGAAGCGACTTGCCCAGGCTCACCAGTGGCGTCAGAGGGGTCTGAGACTGGTGTCCGCACACATGGCTGCTTTGGGTTCATGCTAGCGATCTATAAAAGCAGCAGCCAGTTCTCAGGGAATATTGCTGGGTGGCCCTGGGCACCAAAGAAAGCAAGCCCCAGGTGCCCTGGCTGGCTGCTTTCTGAAACATGCTCTAAAACCTCTTAATTAATGGGTCAGCCCAGGTAACACACCCAGCCCTTACCAGATCTCTTTAGCAAGGGGGCAGGGCCATCTGCAGTAGTAACCCAACTGATACCTCCACAGGGGGTTCCCAGGCATGTGTGGCAGGGTGCAAAGAGTTTCTAGAATGACATTTGTTTTTGTTTGCTTATTTTTGGTGGCACTAGGACTGAATCCAGCATTCTACATTGAGCTACGTCCCCAGTCTGGAATTTGCAACTCTTTTTTTTGTCTTTTTCGTTTTCATCAGTACCAGGGATCGAACTCACGACTGTCTGCTTGCAAGGCAGGCGCTTATGCCGCTGAGCTAAATCCCAAGCCCCAAATTTGCAACTCTTGCTCTGACTCCAGTGGAAACAGCTACTGCTCCTCACGGACAGCTGGGTTCACAGGCGCTTTGGAAGACACGAGGATTCTTGCTGAGAAACACTCTTGCCAACAGCAAGATGTCAGTCCAGAGAGGAGACAGCAGACTGAGAACAGAAACCGACTCCAGCTCGGGACTGATAGAGACAAGCAACCAGCTGAAGAGTGGCTGCAGCCTTCTCCACGCCACCAATAACAGCACCGAGGCTAGTCCTGATATTCTGAGGGCAAAACATCTACCCTTTTCTAAATGGTTGAGGTGGTCTGACCCAATTTTGGTTACAATAAAAACAAGATATCTCGTTATCTAGATCAATCTAACCATCCATTTACATAGAACATTCCAGAAGGATTAATATAAATATGTTTAGGGTCATCCTGGAGGGTAAGGAAGCAGTGACAAATGCTTTTTGTCATAATGTTCTAGTACTGACTGGTTTTCCAGTAATCACCATAAGTTCCTTTGAAAAATAATAATAATTATTGTCCTGGGAGTGGAACTCAGGGCTTCACACATGCTAACCACATTAACTATACTAAGTTACATCTACAGCCCTATTTTTTTTTTCTTGGCACCAACGATCAAACTCAGGACCTCCTGCTTGCCACGTAGGTGCTCAGGCCACTGAGCTAAATCCCCAGCCCTCCAGCCCTATTTTTTAATAATTTTTAGTTATACAAGACACCAATGTATTTATTCTCTGTGTTAAAAATGACATTGTGGAAGGCAGGCTCTGTGTCCATTCCCTACCTCCAGGACTTCCCCAGAAGAACTGGTCATTACTGTCACTCTGATATCTGTCCCTCTAGACCTTCTTCTGCACTTTTACATGCTGAATTATATCTTGTGTGTTTTTTTTTTCGCTTAACAGTAGGACTTGATGATCTGTCCAAAACAGCCCACAGATATCTGGGACACAATTTTTACATTTTTAAAGTAAGCATCACACTCAGTGAATGAAGCCAGTTTTACGGGGTCATGATAGAAAACACCTCTGGAGTGACTGGCTGCTGGGGTCACTTGGGGACACCCTGGAGTAACTATTCAGCTGCCCTCTTTCCCTGCCTTCAGGACCCAAACTCTAACTACATTTGGTTTTTGCTCCTGGCACTTACCCAGAAAGCTTGTGTCCAGCAGCTGAAGGTTAGCCACATCCCAGGTCTGCTTGATACCAATGTTTGCTAAGTTCAGGGTCACTTTCCCATCGCTGAGGGGTTGAAGCTTGAGGAATGTTCTCAAGTTCAAAGCCGCTGCCAGTGCGACCTGTAAAACAGAGAGGAAAAGCAGTAAGCTGAGGGGTCGGGGTGGCAAGGGGGCCAGGGTCCGTGTGCTGAGAAGTGAAGACAAACTCCTACCCAACCACTCCTCCCCAAGACACTGCTAACTGACCTCAGCTCACTCTCCCACTGAGCCTGCGCACACCCACTACCACTCAACTGGGAGTTGTATCTACTTGTATCTGCCTTCCTGCAAGCTTCAGAGCTTCTCAACACCAAAGAATTGCCCCCCAAAATCACTACATTTTCAAAGAGAAATACAAGTTTAAAACATAAATCGAAGACACAAATAATAGCAATTGGAGTGAAGGAATATAAAAAGCATGAGCTTTGGATTCACTCTCAGCTCTACTAAGGTATTGCGAACGTGGTCAAGTTGACCGATTCTTTCCTATGCTTCCACATCTGTAAAATAGAACGCAAGAATGTACTTCTGGGAAAGCTGTAAGGAAGGATTAAATGAGATAATGCATGTTTCTGACACTTGCAGATCATTTTGCCAACTTCTAAACACAGGAGTACCCCAAAACTCAACCCTCAAACCTCTTTTTCTTGCCACCAAAGTTCATTCCCCTCTGGGTGACTTCATTCCCCTTGCAGGGCTTTATGTGTCGTCTTTTTGTCACCTCACTGAGTGAAGCCAGAAAAATTCTTCAGTGGACATAAGACTGTCATTTCCTCACCTGGCAGGGGAAAAACAGAGATCTTCTCTGACCTGCATTCAGGCTATGCTCAGCCTCAAGACTTCCTTTTTATCTTCTTGCAAGATCGGTGCTGGGGAGAAATGGTACACAGTGCTTCAAAGCACTGGGGGTTTTTACCTTGCCATGGACCACGGCGTGTTCCCCATGGAGGATGATTTTCCCTGGAGCTGACACCACCAGCACTCCTGGCCTCATGGCTCCAGGGATCCTAAAGGGAGAAAAGAACAAAGGTTTCTAGATGTTCCAACCAAAAGGAAGAGAGATTTGAGGAATCCCAGTTCAGGCTTGTCAAGACCACCCTGGACTACACAGTGAAAGCCCATCTCAAAGTCATCAATGGCAACAAATGGCAGCTTCCACTCAACACTTATTGTGTACCAGAAAAGAAGTACAGTGTGCCAATCAACTGGACAAACAAGAAAGATCTGGGTTCGGATCCATGGTCTTCCACTTTCCAGTGATGTCATCTTAGCCAGCTCACTTACATGGCTATGAACCTAGGTTTTTTCACACATTATGTAGGGACAATAATGAAACCTACTCCAACGGCTCATTAGGAAGGTTAAATTAACGCAAGACGAACCCTTAGCAGTGTCGGGTCCTCTAATTACCTGATTAGTAATAGTTATTATTAGCTCTGCTCTTCGCTTCAGCTCTTATTACTACTACTAGTGAAGGTTAAAATTTACATGCGAGCTGGGCTTGTAGCTCAATGATGCAGCACTTGCTTAGCATGAGAAGGACCCTCTTTGATTCCCAGCAGCGCTGACAGAGACAGAGAGGTAAAGGGAGACGGGGTGGGGAAGAGAAGGAAAGGGAGAGAAGAGAGAGATTTACAAGGAGCAGACAGAACTCTTTCCTAGACATGGAGACTGCTTCCTACGTATCACAATTATAAACAAGGCTGCAGAAAACACCTGTTCCGTCCCATTCTGCACACTTAAGCGAGGATTACTGCACAACAGAATCCTAGATACAGTATTATAACAGTTTCCCACCTAGATACTGGGTGGGAAACAGTTAGAGAAGCTGGGAGTCCGGCTTGGGGTCCTTCAGGATCTCGGATCTCGCTCCACCCAGTTGCACAACTCCAGTCTCTCACCTGCAGCTACTACAGCCTTTCCCGCACCAGACCCGGAGCAGAGCCTATATTCCTCCATTCCAGAGTGCGAGCTCGCTGAAGGTGGTCCGTCTTTCCTCCTAGCCAATCAGAGCGCGCGAGCTCAATTCCTTAACCAATTGGCTCGAGCATTGGTCAATAGGTATTGTAGCCAAACCGTAGGGTTTCCCTGCCCCTCTCCTCTCTTAAGCCAATGGAAAGCAAGTTCCTGGGAGTGTCCCGCCCTGGTGAGAGAGTCACAGACCAATGGGAAATAGCGGCTCAGCGGTGGTGCGGCCAGCTCTGGGTGGAGTCACCCGGGCCCTGGATGGTGGCCTGGAGAAGTCATCCCGGGAAGAGACCCCCGGGAAGAGACCCCCCCCCCCCCCCCCGCTCAGCTCATGGCTCTGTGGGTTGGGAGAGGCCGTGTTGGCCTCCGCGGATGCTTTGGCACCTACAAGCTGCTTTGTTCTCGTTTCCAGAGCCGCGACTCTCAGGATGTGGAAGACAAGGACAGGTGAGTAGCTGGGAGAGGAACTCCAACGCCTGCCGCGAATCACGTGCTGTTGTCGCCAGTGTACGTCATCCTAGTGATGTTCCCTCTGTCTTCACGTCACTGTGGGCGTCGTGGAAGCCAGAGACTAGTATTTCTTTGCACAAGGCTCCACGAATCCAAACTATCATCAGTCAGGATGGAGCATCCATAACCCTGCGTAGGCCAGGAGGATCAACATTTAGATTTTAACATGAGTAGTTTGTTCTCAAAAGACATTGAGACACAAATATGATCTAAACACAGCTTTCCTCAAAGTAACTTTGAAACTTGCACCCTCAGACCCCCAGACCTCATGAACCTGCAGAGTACCACGAATTAGCAATGATGAATGTAATTGGTAAGTCCGATGATTTAACCTTTGAATAATCTTGGAAAGTCACATTTTAAATCTGACCTATATATATGTTACATTGCTATTTAATAATGTCAGGGAATTTTTGGCCTGGGGGTGTAACTTAATGGTAAAACTTACCCAACATGTGGAAGGGCCTGGGTTCGATCCCAGCATCACAAAAATTTAAAATTAGGGGGGAAAAAAAGCCAGTTTTCAAACCTTGTTTTGGCAGTTCTTCATTTTAAGTGTACTGGAAGCCTTAAAGAATGGAAGTGGCCCAGAAGCCTTAATTTAGTGGTTAAAAGGAGAAGTTTTGAGAGAGTAGAAGTAACATTTGGGGTGCTGGTATAGGATAGTCTTGGACATGAACCCCAGTTCTGCGTCTTCCTCCCTGGGTGCCAGGAACATAAATCTTAGTGAGCTACTTTCCTCAATAGTAAAAGGAAGATAAGAGATGTTTGGGGTTGAAGGATAGTTTAGGAGATGATGCTTGTAATCCACAATGGTCAGGAGCTAGTGGAAGTGATCTGTCAGTTCAGCAAATGTTTACTGAATGTCTACATTGAGCAGTGCACTACATCAGCTACTGAAGGTGGACATGTGGACAAGATACAGAGCTTACCCACAAAAGACTTGCAGCTAGAGATCGAAGGCAAAGATGCCAGTTAAGAAAGCGCCATCCTAGTAACTCAGGTGCCACTGAGTTACTAACTAAGCTGGGACCCAGGGACAAAAGTGCCCCTCTGTATGAGTTGTCCCCACTTAACAGCTTTTCATGTTTGTGTCTCATTAGGATGCAGCCTTCCTTGAAGACACCCAAGATTCCCAAGATTTACACAAGAACAGGAGACAAAGGTAGGGTTGGGACACAGATGAAAAAGACATATGACAGACGTTGCTTTAAAGTTCTTCCAACTTCTCTATAGCCAATAAAAAGTATGTGACAGATCTGAAAATATATTACAAATAATATGATGTGAAATGAAAAATGCCCTAGATACAAGAAATGATAAAAGCAAATGCAGAGCCTGGCTTGATGGCACACACCTATCTGTAATCCTGGCTGAGAGGCTGAGGAAGGAGGATTGCAAATTCAAGCCTAGCCTGAGCAACATAGAGAATACTGAGATACTGTCTCTAAAAAATAAAAAAGGATCCAGGAGTGATGATACACACCTGTAATCCTAGCTCTCTAGGAAGGTGAGGCAGGAGGTTTGCAAGTTCAAGTCTCTCCTGGCCAACATAATGACTTAGTATGATCCAGCCTCAATATGAAAAATAGAATAAAAAATGTTAAAGATGCTAGAGATTCAGCTCAGTGCAAAGACCATTGGTTTAACTCCAGTACTATAAGACAAAGGAGGGGGGGTGCTAAGGATATAGCTCAGTGTTTGGGGGTTTTAGCACCAGAAATCAAACTGGGGGCTGAGCTATATTGATGGTCCATAGCTCAGTGTTAAGATCTTAGGTTCAATTCCCAATATCATGCACACACACACACACACACACACACACACACACAAATGTGGGATGAGAGTCAGTGGTAGAATACTGACCATAATAAAAAACAAGTTTCAGGATAATCCAAATACTCCAAATCTGCCTAGCTAAAAGAGCATATATATATTATCCAATAGAAACTGAGTTGTGGGAGAGAAGCATGAACGGTTTACACACTTTCATTTCTTTTTTACAATAAGCACATATTACTTTGATAATTTAAAAAATACCAGAATATATTAATCCCAGCACTTGGGAGCACTTGGCAGGGGGATTTCCATGAGTTTTAGCCTGGGCCAATAAGTTCAAGGCCTGGCCTCAATTACATATTGAGACCCTGTCTCCAAAAACAAAACAAATAGGCAGATGCGGCATGTATCGGGTGACACTATTGTCTTTCCTTTGTGGTCATAGGAATTGAACCCAGGACCTTAAGTGTAATAGGCAAGCACTCCACCACTGAGCTACACCCCCAGCCCCTTTTATTTTATTTTGAGATTGAATCTGACTAAGTCACCCAGGCTGACCTTGAACTTCAGTCCTATCCTGGTAGCTGGGATTACTGGGTACTATCAGAAAGCAGAGCTAATTCTGTAAATGGGTGTCTTAGTATTTCTTTAAAGCTGCTAAAGCCGTGGTGGATAGAAATGCTGCCTGCAATCCCTCACATCAGCCGGGGAAAGGAGCGCCTGGTCGTTGTTGTCATTTAGACAGTGTTCTGTGCTCAGATATGATTACGCGGTGGCCTTCTTTTGTTTTGGTCCTGATCTGTCACCGTTGCAGAGTGGCCTGTGTGACAGTACTCTGTGAAATCATTTATCAGAGCACTGTGGCTTACGTGTGAGTGGCAGCGTGGCAGCCCCCAAGGTGACAGTGCCAGGCAGCAACTGTCACCTAGGCAGAGGTGAGAGGACTCTGATCGCATGCGAGGCATAGTAATACTGTGTGTGCAGTGTGACATGTTTCATTCCTTTAGCAGGGTGGTTAGTGTATGATTTTTCAGTTTGAACTAAGAGCGTATCAGGGAAGAAGTGAGGGTTAGGGTTATCTTAGGAGTGGTGCCTGAAAGGGGGGCCCTGGGGGTTTCTGGGGTGCTGATCTGGAGCTGGGTGCCGTCACAGAGGTCTGTTCAGTTAGTGGCAGTTCACGAGCTGTACCCCAGGGTATCAGCACCTGTCTCTATCTCTGTTGTACTTGACATTGAAAGTTTTCTTAAAGAAAGAACAGCATATAGGGGTGTCTAATTTCAGGGGGCTAAATGTTTTTCCACAGGATTTTCTAGCACCTTCACGGGAGAAAGGAGACCCAAAGATGACCAGGTGTTCGAAGCTTTGGGAACTACGGATGAATTAAGTTCAGCCATTGGGTAAGGGAGCCAGGATCGGCCTGAAGGTCAGCTGTGAAGTGGGCATCAGTGTGTCGTGACTGTGACGTTCTCAGTAGCTCTGGGCCATCTTGGACCTGGTCCACCCCTGAACAGCCAGGAAGCAGGTCTGGTGAGCTCTGGGAGGCTGCCAGGCTGCAGGCACCTCAGCGTCCGTCCCGTTCCCTACCCTGCCCCCGCCAATGCAGCCCGTCCCTCCTCCATCCATGGTTCCCTAAATTTTCAGCTGAGTTGGTGGTGTCTCTGCTTCACCTGGCCACTACTTTGAGGCCTGGGTTGGCAAGGCAGCCTCCATCTAGAATGGTCTTGTCATTGAGGAGGATGGAAGGAGGTCCCGGGGAAGCTTACACTGGCTCCTAAAAGCTCCCCAGGGTGTGGTACATCCCAGTCACCTCACTGGCCGGAGCCAGTCTTGTGGCCATGCCTGATATCAGTGGGGAAGAAGGGACGCACAGACTGAGAACCATAGCACATTGCAGAAATTGTGTCTATATCTATATTCTAGGGAGAATTAAGTGAGAATTGTCATCTTAATTTACCTATTTATGCGGACCATTTCTCAGTGGTGAACAGACCGGGTGAGATTTTGCAGGACAGAGGATGGCAGGAGTAGATAGTCTACTAGGCAGGTTAGAGAGGGCCTGGCTGTTGGGGTTAGGGGAGGCCACAGGATGAAGTGAGCAGAGAGAAGATCAGTTCCAGCATCAGTCATACAGAATTAGCAGATCAGCAAGCCAGCATCTCCCAGCTGATGTGGGGCAGGAGGTGGGTCTGGAGCTTCAGTTATAGATCCTCCCTCTGCCAGGCATTGACCGAGCACCTCTGTGCCAGGCTCTGCTAAGCCCAGCCTTACCCCTGCCTTCAAGGGGCCGCAGACAGACATGACCCAGAGCATCTGTCAGTGAGCAGGTGTTTCTCGATGCCTGCTGGGTACGAGGCATTAGGCACGCTGCTGTGACAAAGCCAGTGTCCCAGCACACACAGTCCTTCCTCACAGTGTAGAAAGGGACGAGCACTAGATAACCAGTCCTGTGTTTGATTGTCCTTCTGATTGGAAGATGGGCCAGAAAGACGCACACATTACTCTTCACATGCGCCTTGTCAGTTTTCTCCTTGCTGAGACAAAATACCTGATACTCAAAGTTAAAGGAGGAAAGGTTTATTTAGCTCACAGTTTTCAGGGGTTTCAGCCCACAGTTGGCTGGCTTCAAGGCAGGATGGCATGGCAGAGGGGCATCGCAGCGGGAAAACAGTTCATGGAAAGCCAGGCAGAAGGCAGAAAGCAGCAAGCCTCCTCCTGTCTTTTTCTTTTTTGTTGATACCAGGGATGGAACTCATGACCACACACTTGCAAGGCAGGTGGTTATGCGGCTGAGCTAAATTCCCAGCCCCTCGCCTCCTGTCTTTTATCCCATTCAGGCCACAAGCCTTTCGGGCGGTTCTGCACACACCAGATGATCTTCCCGTTATCCATGCCCAGAACTATGCCAAACCAATCAGTGGACTAATTCAATACCACACACCCTCAATCCTGGCGTCACACACCCTAGATCCAGCCAACTCCAAGAAGCCCCACCTACGAGTGCATGGGGATTGGAGGGGGTGGATGTCTAGATACAAACCATAACACGCTGCCTGTCTGTTTCCCCTCCACTCTGCCCTGTGCCTGGGCAGCTGACCTGGCCACTGGTCACCTATTCCTGCTCTGCTGGCTTTCAGGGGCTCCAGCCTATGGGAGGCAGGGCAGGGGTTGGAGAGCACAGAGAGAGGTGTGAAAACTCACGACCCTGTCCCCAGCTGTGTGGCCCTGGAGCTCTGGATCCTGTCTAACTCCCTGCTCTGTGGCTCCTGTTGTGGCCCCAGATCCCACACAATTCAGGGCCAGTACACCATCCCCTTCCCTTGCCCCTTTGGTCCCCACTCTTGCCAGTCTCTGCCATTCATCGTCCGATTTCCTAACTCTGCTCACCCCTCTGGAAATTGTCCCTTTTCAAAGCCCTCCTCTGGGAATCCATCCTACACCAGTGTTTTCTGCCAGGACCCCAACTGGCACGGGAAGTAAGTGCAAAGTTGTACGCAGTTTGATCCTGCCTCAGTCTGCCAGAGAACTCCTACTTAGTCTTCAAAGCCTCACCTTCAACGTACTTCCACAAGGAGGCCCTCCTCCCTGTTCCCTAGCTTAGCTGAGGCCAGGTTAAGTTACCCTCACTCTGCTCTGCAGAGAGCACTTAACTCAGTTTTCAATTTCCTGTTCAGCAATGTGGTACTCAACTTGAATGTCCCCCTCCAGCTGGATAGAGCCTGGGTCACCTTTTGTTCCCCCTGAGTCACCAGGACACACACGGGAGGCACCCAAAGGAATTGTTGACTGGGCATAGTGAGTATAAGAAAAGATATTTTGAGAAATAATACCGCAACAACTGGAAACTTGTGATGTTCCTATTGTCAACAAGAAAAATAGCACCGTGCTGTTGTAATTAAGTTAGCTAAATGGTTACCACCTGAGAGTGCACTCTTACAGGCCGCGGTATACTAGAGGCAAATTCTTTTTCCTTTTTCTTCTTAGGTTTGCTATGGAATTGATCACAGAAAAGGGCCACACATTTGCTGAGGAGCTTCAGAAAGTAAGTAATGTCCTCTCCCCCCAAGATGGGAGTTACTATCTCTGTGACCTGGAGGCCATAACTCGATTTATCACCTGATCATCACTTCTTTGTATCACCCAGGGTTAGACACTCTGCCTCCACGGGCCTCAGTCTCTTCATCTGTAGAATGGGGGTGTGCAGCATTCATCCTCCCTCACAGGCAAGGGGTGAGGATCATGCTGAGAGAGGGGAGCACACAGTGCAGCCATTCTCAGCCTCAGGCGGGGCCATGTGGGAAGGCCATTTGGAATGACGTTTTGGGCTGGCACATTCCAGGAATGAGATACATGTCTGCAGTGCACAGGACACACTGCTCACACACACACACACACACACACACACACACACACAAAATGACCAGAGGACCATGTGCCCAGGCTGAGAAGCCAGGTGCAGTGAGCCTCAGCCTGCAGGACTCACGCTCCTTAGTATCACTGTTGTGTTCCTTACTTATAAAGGAGCTGGGCCCCTGAACCCCAGAGAGCAGGGACATCACCCCAGAGTGCTTTAGGGTGTACCCACGGTTTCCCTCTACGCAGGTTTCCATAGTGTAGTTTGCCTCTCACGGCAGTCTGGCCCAGGGTGGAGCCTCTGCTCCCAGCCCTTCCTCAAGCCACGGCCCTTGCAGTAAGGTAGGACTGTCCCATCCAGTCCCTGGCCCAGCACCTGAAAAGTGAGAGCTGTCAGTACAGAGAAAAGAAGGAAATCTCACAAGGGCCTGGTGCATGGCAGCATGGTCAGGGCCGGGAAGTCTCCTCCTGACCCCTGCTGGGGTGCCTGGCACTCACGGGGCACCTCCTTCCAGGGATCCATGGCATTCTGCCCAGCCGGTCACAGGTCAGCTTTTCTTCCCGCCTCTTCCCTCCCCAGATCCAGTGCACACTGCAGGACGTCGGCTCAGCCCTGGCCACTCCGCGCTCCTCTGCCAGGGAGGCCCACTTAAGTAATTCTCTGTGCTGTGTGGGTGGTCAGAGGGCCCCCTTGCTCCTGGGGTTCCCTCCTGGGAGTCCAGGCCTTGAGAGGCCCACCAGCAGGCCGCCTTGCCCATCATCCCTGGGGTGGGTTGGGGAGTCACTCTCTGGACTGGAGGAAGCCATCTGTGGGACCCTGGGTGGAAGGGACCTGGGACGCGTCCTTGATGCCGTGGTGAGCTGCCCTTGGTTCTGCTCTGTGACTCCTCAGAACGCACGGCCTTTGAGGCGGGGTCCATCCTGGAGCTGGAGCAGTGGATCGACAAATACTCCAGGCAGCTCCCGCCACTCACAGCCTTCATTCTGCCCGTAGGTATCACTGCCTCCGCCCTGTGACTGTGTCTGAGCACATGGACAGAAACGCATGGGCTGGCAATGAGGCCCTGGCTTACAGCTTTTACCAGTGACGAGCTGTGTGCCAGCCCCCAGCCCCTCTGGGTCCTCGCTGCTCTCTCTCTGCCCGCTTTGGATGCAGATACCCAGTGGGCATGTCGGGCGGGGCCCCTGCAAGCAGAATGTGGCCGAGGGAGGGGGCAGACCTGGTGTCCGAGGAATCCTGCCGCGGCAGGCACACTGCCCAGCCCGCCCAGCCAACACCTGCTCTCCCCTTTCAGTCGGGAGGCAAGAGCAGCGCCGCGCTACACTTCTGTCGTGCCGTGTGCCGCCGAGCTGAGAGACGGTAAGGGGACGGGGGGCTCGGCTTAGGCACACGTGGTGGATCAGCGCTGCACCACCCAGCCCTTTCCCAGGGGCCTCACGGTGCCAGAGCAGCCAGCACGACCAGTCCCTGTCCTCAGAGCCCCACGCCTCAGAGGGAGCAGCAGTAGAGCGGCAGGAAGCCAGTGATTGGTTCTGGGCCATTTAGCCTCAGGGGAGGAGGGTCTGGAGGGGCTGCACGGCTTTGGGGGTCCTGAATGGAAGCTTTCAACAGCCCGGCCTCCTGCTACCCCAACCCTTGCCTAGCTGAGCATCAGGAAGGGACGAGATGGAAGGCCCCCACCTCATGCTCTTGCTCCATGCCATCTACCTGCGTGTGGCCTTTTCAAGGACAGTTTAACAAGAGGCACTTGAAAAAGCTCATTCATTCTACCCTTCAGCCCGCTGCCACCCAGCTTAGAGTGGAAATAGACCCTCCTTGGTACAGAAGCCAGGCTGAGCCAGGCACTCACCGAGTTCACATAGGAATTCTAGGGCTGGTGGTGGCAGCCCCACTTCAGGAGTTGTGAAATGGACTCAGAGAGGTGACATTGTGGCCAGGCTCAGTGGCAAAGCGCAGATCTGGGCTCAGGTTTATCTAGGTCAAATGAGCTCTTTCCTGTGTCACAAAGGTTTTGTGTAACATGCAGGGCTGTCAGACAGACCCTGAGGATACGTGGGTAACAGACAACACTTTGGCTTCAAAAGCAAAGAATGTCATTTGTTTAAAGTTATCCACGTCAGCAGTGTTCATAATAGCAAAAAGTTGGAAACAACCCAGAGGCCCAAAAAGAAGGTGGCCAGGCTGACAGTGGGCCTCACTACGGCCACCAGGCCATAGCTAAGTGACGACCAGGGTCCCCACTGGGTAACAAAGCTCCCTGCAAGTTGGAGGTGCCACAGGGTAGGCCTGACCAGTTCCTGCCTGGGCTGCTAGGTGTCGTGTGCAAGGCCAGGTGTGGGGACCGTGCCTCCCAGCACAGGTGATGCAGCAGCAGTGATGTACACCAAGGGCCCAGCAGGCCGCTCCCCGCACTGTCTGAAATGTCCGCACAGACTGCCCGGGACCCCTGGGAACACCGAACCATGGGGAAGGGAGGTGGGAGTTTGCTTGGGCACTAAGGGCCAGATTCCTTCATCTTTGAAAGCTGGAGCTTGATCATTCCAGCCAACTCGGGGAGGACCCCAGGCCCAGTGGCACAAAAGCCAGCAGGCTGGGGTGTGGGGCAGTGTTCCCCTCGCTCTCCCCTACCCTCCGTCCCTCCTGGGGCAGGCTGCATGTCCAGGAGCGAGTGGATGTCTTGTGAAACCCTTCAGTCGTGGATTTTTCCATTGCTGGTACTGGCTGGGTTTGTCCAGACAAAGGTCGAATGATGGCCAGTTGGGAAATGCCCCTTGTGACCCCAGGTGCCCACGTGTATTATCCCTTGCCAGATGGTGTGACTGTGTTTCCTCTTTCCAGCGTGGTCCCTCTGGTCCAGATGGGAGAGACGGATGCAAATGTGGCCAAATTCTTAAACAGGTACTTAACACGGAGTGTGAGGGTTCCTCTCTGAAAGGCCAGGTGCGTCTGTGGGCAGAACATCAGGCAGCAGGACTGGGGTACGGTGCTGGACTGTGCCCACGTTCTCCTGCCTGTAGGTCAGTGTGTGTGTGCCGTGCTGTGTGGCAGACACTGTCACTGTCTCTGATGAAGTTAAGCTCTAGTTGGGAGAGACCTCTATAAAAGCCAGCAGAAACAAACATAACCATGAAGGAACAGGACAGTAAGAGGTGCCCTCAGAGGCACCTTGAAGTCTGGTGGGGGGTCCAGGAGTAGCTCTTCCCAGCCAGTCTTCCCCTTCTAGGAGACCCCAGACAGCACCTGTGAGCCGGGCCAGCCCGGGTGGACACCACGCACCCCTGCCTCGCTGTCAGCCTCTTCATGCTGAAGCTTGCCCCGATAGCATCCAGTCAGCCTGGCTTGTGCAGTACCAGTGGGTGTAGATGGAGCCCTGGGGCAGGCAGAGAGTTAAGGGACAACGGTGGGGGCTGTACCCCAGGAACTGTCCCTGTGGTGCAGAAAGTGACTGTGGGTCAAATCCACGGGGATGCAACCTGGACTTGGACAGTCTCGAGCAGCTCCCTTCCTCCTGGGAAGGGAATCCCTGAAGCAGCAGCTCACAAGCCGTGAGGAGCCTGGTGGTCTGCAATAGGGTGTGGTCCGAGGCCATTTGCCTCCTGGCTGGTTTCTGGAGTCAGCAAGAAACTAATGCACTGCTGCCCTCCAGGACCACATGGTCCCTGGGTCCATACCCAGAGCAGCCAGGACTGCGGGTCAGGGAAGGCCCTGTAGAGCCAGCCTGGGAGGGTAGGAGCTGGCAGGAAGGGCCAGAGGAGGTGGTGATGCTTGGTGTGAAAGCCATGAGGGGTGGGGTGACCGGCTGAGTCCCTGAAGGGCAAGCACTTCTGTGTTCTCCCCACTGCTTTCCCTGCAGACAGTCTCCTGGCCTGACGCCCACCACCACGGGCTCCAAGGAAGCAGGGACCAGGTTGTGGGCACTAGAACCTTCCAGGCCAGTGCTTCTCAACCAGGACACTGGCGGGGTCTGGAGACACCTGGTAGTCTAAAGCTGCTGGCATCCAGTGGGTGGAGGCCAGGGACGCTGCTCGGCACCCTGCGATGCACAGAGCGTCCCCACCACAGGGGTGAACCAGAGCGTGTTTAGTGTCACGGTCAAGAGCACTGCCTAGGGCCTGTCTGCCCCAAGTGTGGCCTTGGGCGCAGCAGGGCCAGTTCAGCCCCAGGATCTGTACATTCCTGAGATCCCTGGTGACTGTGCTCTCTCCAGTTTGAGAAAACCCTGTCCTGGTCACTCCAAGCTGAGAAATAAGCTCACGGAGCGGTCCCAAGTTCCTTCTCTGAGGGTTAGGGCTGGCTCAGCCCTCGTGTCTCATGAAGGCTGGCCTCATGGCATCCATCAGTCCTCAGTGGCCGGGCACCTCGTATGTCCCTGCGTGATGCTCCTGGTTCAAAGCCAATAGATAGGACCTGGCCCGCAGCGATCTGTCATCTTACACCCTTCCTCTGCTGCTCTCTGCCCCTGCAGACTCAGTGACTATCTCTTCACAGTAGCCAGATATGCCGCCATGAAAGAAGGAAATCAAGAAAAAATATACAAGAAAACCGAGCCATCGGATCGAGCCTGAGGAGCTTGGAGATAACAGAAGGGGGCGCTCCCTAGGCCCCTCTGCGGGGCAGTGACCGCGATGGCGGCGACAGGGAAGAGTTTGCCTTTGGGACCCTGATTCCTGAGGAGCTGGCAGAGGGTCACAGCAGACTCACTGCTTTGTGTCACAGCCCTTGCTGCTTCCCTGGAGGGCCCAGGGCCCCCAAGACTTTGTCCTTGCCTCCCCAGGCTGGCCTTGGTCTTAGAGGATGTGGGAATGAATTCAGTATCACAGAAAAGGAAGGTACAGTGATGGCTCCGAAGTGGAGGAGCCAGGCGGAGAAAAGAATAAACGTGGGAAAAGCTGGAGCCGTGTGTGCGTGGGGGCGGCAGTGATTCCTGAATGAGCCCTCCTGCTGCCAGCTAAGGCTGCTCAAGGGTTTGGAATGGTACCAGAGGCCCGTGGAAGTGTAATTGTGATTTACCTGTGCCAAAGGGGCTGTAGATGTCACATTTATAAAGGGGAAGGGAGGCAGGATTTGGAAATTTAGTCACCTCGGAGCTACCCATCACCGCTGCAGTACGGGGACGGGTGGCTGCTGAATGACAGAGGAGGCCTCAGGAACACTCAGCGTGTCGGGGGGCTGTGGCTTGGAGACCCCTCTGATACAGATGGGGCCCAGAGCAGAGCAACACCATCACTTAGGGCCGGCCCTTCCTGCCCGGTCTGAGGGAGTGGTGGGCGAGGGCGAGCGGGTCCAGCTTAAGGAAACGAGACGTCTCGCTTCCAGCAAGGTGACAGCAGAGACTTCTGTGACGTTGCACTGGCAGCTCTCTGCCTCTGAGACCTGCGCCACGGCTGTGTTTTATGCCGCTAGTCACCACTGCTCCCTCCTGCTATGTAATGACACTGCCAGTGCCAGCTGTGTCCTTGGAAGAGGAATATTTATGAAGGGCAGAGAGGCAGCCCGGAGAATCTAAGGACTCCATGCTGCTAATTGCAGGAAGTAGCTTCAGAAGAGGAGGCTCATTTCGACCGCCAGGGCCCTGGATGCCTGGTGGCCTCCACTCAGCCGTCATTTATTTAGCAAGCACCTGCCTAGCAGGGGGCCCTGCGCCAGGCATGGGCAGGCTGGTCATTCCCATCATCTTCCTCGCTGGCAACTTGGCGGATGTTGAATTCTCAACCATGTGCATCTTTCTGCAGGCCAGGCAGGTACATTTGTGTCTTCCGGGCTCTTTGGGAGCAGGCAGGCCACTCTGTTGAGCCCTGGGCAGGGTGAGCAAGTCCCCAATGCCCAGCAGTGAGGAACACCCTCCAGGAGAGGGCCGTGGTCAGTGCCATCCAGATCTCCTAGTTAGACCCAAGCACAGGGTAGGAGGCTCTGTGTGTACAGGCAGGATGAGAGACAGGAAAAGCATGTGTGTGGGGTCCTGCCCTGTGATCTCTTCAGGCCCAGCTGGGACGTACACGTCCCAGAAGCTCACAGGAGTCACTCAGTTGTGCCCACACCTCCAAATCTTCCTAGAAAGGCCAGAAACTGTGCAGTAAACCAACACTCTTACACTCCTAGCCACAGCAAAAACAGAAACACCCAGAGTGCACACAGTACGCTAAAACAATCTTTGAAATGAGGCAGCTTGCCGGTTGGCCAAGCCTGCACCTCCTGGAGCAGGTGGATGTTGGCATGCGGGTTCCCAGGCCCACTCCCTGGCTCCATGTTCCCTCCACCAGCGAACATCTCCCAACATCCCACTCGGGGGCAGGGCAGATGTCTCTGAGCCCCCAGCCCGGGGAGAACAGAAGGCTGCGTGGACACAGGCTGGGCTGTGTGAAGTGCTTGCCATTCTGCAGTAGCCGTAGTAGAGCCCCAGGCAAAAGGGGGAATGTGTCAATCCCGATCCCCTGATCCAAGTGGGAAGAGCTGATGAAAGGCCACAGTGGAAAAACGACTCTGTAAAGCCACGTTGCCTAGTATTTGCGCATTCAACCAATGGCCCACTCCGTGCAGTGACAGAATTGTGAAGCCAACATGTATTTAAGATCCTGGCACTTGGTTTATTGTGGGCTTTCTTTTTTTTCCCCTGGAAATAATGTGACTTTTGAAAATACTGTGTACAAGCCCCTGATCTTGATTACTGGAGTTTTGGGGCACTCCCTTGTTTGTTTGATGAGATGGGAACTCCCTGTGTTGCCCAGGCTGGCTTTTCAATCCTCCTGCCTCAGCTGCCCAAGTAGCTGGGCCCCGGGCTTGCACCATTTCACTGGTCACTCTCAGGTACGCACGTTGCCCTAGTCCAGGTCGGCTCCCTGCGGCACTGCCTTGGCATCATTACTGAGGAAGCTCCCCAGTAGCAGCAGTGCCAGCCAGCGCTGCGGAAGGGCCTTCCCTGAGCCACACGGTCCGCACACATGGTCTCACCTGAACCTCCCAGCAGTCCTGGAGGACAGCACTGAACAGTTTTACAGGTGGGGAAACTGAGGCCCAAAGAGCTGGCCCAAGACACGGCATTCCTCTCTCCCTCCCTACTGCTGTCTGACAGTCGCTTTAATCACAACCTGGGCTGCAGCAAACAGTGCCAGGCACTAATAGATCCTGCTGTCTCATTTCTCAACCTAGTTTCCCTTAACTGATATTTCATGGCTATTGTTAATGTGCATTCTTCACTGAGTAATTTCCACAGCCCGAACTTGTAACACATCCCAATGACAAACGTCCCCAGCTCCGTATCCCCCATCAGCTGCAATGTCACCCTCGCCTCCTCCCCAACACCTTCCGACAGCCCATCCAGTTTTATGATCGCTCTGTCCCAGTGATCACTACTGAACCTTTAAGAATCCAGGCGCATTTCAAGTTTAATTGAATAAAATTCGTTGTATAATAAATTCTGCATGAATGCTACATAAATCAGTGCCTGGAAGGATTTGTGGCTCATCCTTCCTCCCAGACTGGGCTGGAGAACCTCACCAGCAGTACTGAGCCCAAGCTGCTCCTGGCTTGATTGCCGAGAGGGGTAAATTCACCTTCACAGCCCGGTTGGGGTCTGGTTGTCACTGGCCCTGGCCCGTTGCCTGCTCTGAGACTCCATCATGGAAAATGGTACTTAAATCCAAGCAGAGGAAGGGCTTGTGACCCGGGAACTTTGGGGTTGTCCCTTGTACCCACCCATTGCACATAACTGAAACTTTCAAAGCCGTCATTTGTCACCTGTGGAATTGTGATGACAGATGTGCACACACTTGTTCACACCCTTGGAAGTCTGTGGGACACCCAGTTGAGAAACCCTGGACTCAAATAACTCCAGGAAATCAGACTTGGTGGTGTGTGCCTGTAATCCCAGCTACTTGCAAGGCTGAGGCAGGAGAATCATTTGAACCCTGGAGTTTTGAGATCATCCTGAGCACATAGGGAGACCCTGTTTCAACAAACAATGAGAAAGCTATCCATGGGCCCCCCTCTTTAGGAGCCAAGTGGGGATTCACAGGGCTGCCCTCTGCAGGAGCCTCTCAGCAGGGGATAGGGGATGGTGGGGGTATTCACAAAGCTACAGCCTTGGAAGGAGGGAATACTTGGGGCTGGATGGTGTCGATGCCCACCGACTCTAGAAGGGCAATGAGTGGTCATCAAACACATGGCTTGTCACACTGGGAGGCTGAGGCAGGAGGATCCCAAGTTTCATCTCACCCTAAGCAACTTAGCAATATCCTATCCCCCCCCCCCAAGAAAATAAAAGGGCTGGGGATATAACTCAGTGCAAAGGCCCTGGTTCAATCCCCATTGCCAGGAAAAGAACAGAATATGGCTCAGGCATGATTCAGGCAGACAAGAGGCCAGTGGCAGCTGAGACCAGCCAGCTCTGCCACTTCTGGCTCAGACTTGCTCTTACTTGCAAAAGGAGAAGGAGGCATCTACCCCGCAGGGTCACTGAGAGAGTTTAATGAGGTAAAGGTAGTGTTTATTCACCCTCCTGGCAAGTGTGACCTATATCCTAGCCATTTGTTATTTATTATTGGGATTCAAAAGCCCTTTTGGTCACTTTTTAGCCGAGCCCCCTTGAGCAGTTTATTTAATCACTCTGAGCCTTGCTCTTCATCTTCTGTAACTGGGAATAATAACACGGATTTCAAAGGCTCAGGGGCTCGGTCCTCAGGACTGGCTCATGGCAGCCGCTCAGAAGACACAGAAAAGCCGCTGTTGTGGTTCGGTCACGTTGTGCCCTTTGCAGGGCACTTTCTAATCACTCCGGCCAGGTGAGGCAGCCTCTGGATCGTTAGATTTACAGAGTGGCTGGAGGAGACAGACGGCCTCCTGAGGGATCGGTCACACTCAGGCCAGGGGGATGTAGCTCCAGGAACACTGTGCCAAAATAAAAGGCGGAGGGCATGGTCCCAGAGCAATGAGATCCTCACCCCCGTTTTATGGATAAGAAAACTTGAGGCCCAGAGAGAACGTAATGAGCCTAAATCGAGCACTGATTATGTCCAGGTGTCTTGTTAAGGACTTCAGTGCCATAGCTCATTTGATTCTCTCAACGAACAGCCCCAAGAAGGTGGGGCTGTTAATATTACTATCGCTCCTAGAAAGGGGAACTGGCTTTCTCAAGGAACACAGCTCTCGGAGGTGGGGCCAGCTTTGAATCAGGTGCTCCTCTCTGAATGCTGTAACTAGTGCTTCTTTAACACTGAGCTATGTGCTCGGCTGTACCACAAGGACAGGCTTTCTTCTGCTTTTTTTTTTTTTTTTTAAGACAAGGTCTTGCCGTGTTACCCAGCTGATCTTGAATTCCTGAGCTCAAGCGGTGCCTCTACTCAGGCTCTCGAATAGCTGGGACTACACACACCACCATGATGGTCCAGCAGCAGAACCAGGTTTTTTCTGTGTCCGTTTATTTCTCAGAACCGTAGGAGGTATGTACAGTTATCCCCCAACTTGGGTGGGGGGGTGTGGGAAATGGGCTCAGAGTTGTGATCTCTCTTGCCCACAGCTAGAGCTGTCCCCTGGCTTGATGATAGTTATCATGATGTCATCAGTTATCATGATGTCATCATGATGGCTGCTTGGAGCACTCTTTCTGGCAGAGCTTTTAAAATGTTCTCCCCTGAGCTGGATTACAGGATGTGCATACCAGTAATCCCAACACTTGGAAGGCTGAGTCAGGAGACTCCCCAAGAGTCAGGACTACATAGTAAGTTCAAGACCAGTCTAAACTACATAGTGAGAACCTGTCTTGAAAAATATATAAAAATATATACAAAATAAATGAATAAAACCTTTTCCCCATAGCTGAGCCCGCGATAGCATGCATTCCCTGACAGCCTTTCACATAGACATTAGCATTGCTGAATCTGAGGCACAGGAAGTGGCCGC